CGTGTTTAGTTATGGTCAATTATATGGTGCAAGGTCACGAGTTAGATCTTTTTCCGCGCTAAAAATCTTACTACAAAATAAGAAGGATGTTTCCAACAATTTTGACTAAAAATATTGTGTACAAGGAAGTATTAAACAATGTAAAATAGCTATGTATGTAGTTTTGTTATAATATTAATTTAGTAATTCTTAGCAATGTTTGTTTTAGTGTAATTTTAGAAATATATATATTTTTTAAATTATCTTTGTCATGTTAATGCTCCCTTTTTACTTATTAAACATATCTTTCATTATCTATACTATTTATATGACCCCTTTACATGTGCAAGGTTGGATCGGAAATGAAGTATGTTTATTATTTTTTATGCCCACTTCAATGATGTTTAAATGCAGGAAATGGACACAATATACACACCATGTCGTTTATTACCCTTTCTTCGTTAAAAGTGAATATGAGAGCACGTTAATTATGGGTGGTGAATGAACAAGCTAGAGCTTAGGGTGCAAATTACATCCATCGTTCATGGAGTATGGAATTTTTTGACACATAGATTTGAACTTGAGTTTACTTAGTGCTTAATTTGTTTCTCCAATATATTCATATATATTTATAAATATAGACACTTATGTATAATTTCTCACTTTCTAAAGGGACGAAGTTCAAGTCATATTATTTAATGTTGATATTGATAAATATAGACATCTTGAAACAAGGTTAAGTTTATTCGATTGCATGACTATAGCTTATGCCTCCGGATGCATCTTACAAATATGCCAATAACCAAAGGAGGTTGAATTTGGTAACAAGACTATGATAACAGATGTTCTTGATGATTACGATGATATCCCAAAGTACAATTTCAAGTTAACTGAATTTTACCACATTCCACACTACCTTCACATGTGCAATTCTCATTGGTATGTGTCTTTCAATAATTACAATTTACCTAATACAAATATTTTATATGATTTTTAAAATTATTTTTCGAGTTTTAATAGTCATATCATTTTTTTATTGATGATGAATGTACACAGATGTTATTGGGTTGATCTAAGTAAAAGACAACATTTTTAAAGAGATGTGTTACTCAACAACACAAAGTAAAAGCATATCACACAATTAATATGATCGATTCATTTGCATTAAAATACCCACCAATTTACAACAATATTTGTGCAAGATTAGCTTCTCCATATAAAATTTTAATTTTTCATGTATTTTTAATACTTTAGCTCTCTACTTTTTTACAAACCCCATGTAAATTTATCTTTCCAATATGTTTTTATTTCTTTTTATTTAAGTTTTTTAATAACTGCAAAATCAACCCAAAATGGTCGAAGTTTTGGGGACGGAGGGAGTATCTAAATTCTTGTTTGGTTGGTGATAGGAATATATTAGGGATTATAAAAATATTTTTGCTTCCTTAAGGATATAATATGATTTTACAAAAATAGTAAAATACCTTTATGGCTTTATGATGGTTGGGCCATTATCTTGCATCCCTTTCTACGTATTAAATTTAAGTAAGTCATCATACATCATTATTCGTAAGGAAAGAAACCACTATTCTCATGTTTCCCAAAATATAGCAAAACACAAGATGAGTATTAAAAGAACATAACTCTGCCATCTAGTAACCAATACCACACAAGGCTTGGTAAATAAAAAGGAAAAGGAAGCCAATGCACACAAGATAAAATTTTGCTATATTTTTCTCTCCTATTCTATTTCGTTTCTAATTATATATGCATATATTGTAGATATTTAAACTTCTAAAAAGAGTAGCAGCATAGCAGGCATAAAATCTTGCTGAACTATTTATAATCCTTTCCTTTCTATCTTGCTGCAAATTACAACTGCACATCTTCCAAATAGAAATTCTCTTGTGATGAAATTCCAAGACAGCCCATTAGAGTCCCTTAGTTCCCCGCAAAAAAGTTAAATTCTTTTCACTTCAAAATATTACAAAACCACCAGGGTTCATCTGTACTCCTCACAACAGGCCTCTGCCTTCCTCAAATATGATTCGGTAATCCAAAGCTTCCACTGACCCAGAATGTAAAAGCATACTTACCCCCATTATGGTTCCAACAACAACAAAGCTTTATAGTGGTTCTAAAAAATATTAATTCAATGAGCGGCTTAAGGTAAGGAGCCCCCATACACTCTCAATATACTTAACAAATCTTTGTTCACCATGTCTGAGGCCTGACCACATTTGTTGCTCACAGCAACTCAGCAGAGGTTATTAGAAGGAAAAATATACTGCCTTAGGCCTTGATAAGCAGAAGAACGTGAGAAGCGATGTTGTAGTAAGTTTGGATGGAAAAGATTTGACCATGAGTGTTTTAAATATCTTGGATTGATCATCCAAAAGAATGGTGACATTGATCAAGATATGGCCCCCAGAATTAAGTTAAGGTGGCTTAAATGGAGAGCGGTCACGAGAGTGTTATGTGACCGAAGCATTCCTTTACAGTTCAAGGGGGAAAAAAAGACTGTCATAAGGCAGAATGTTGGGCTTCTAAGAAGAGCGTTAAAAAGATAAAGTTAACAGAAATGCGCAAGTTAAGATGGATGTGCGGGAACACTCTAAGAGATAGAATCAAAATGAAGTTATTCGCAAGAAAGTGGGTGTTGCAGGCATTGCACACAAACTAACGAAAAATGTCTGCAGTTCGGGCAAGTAAGACGGAGACCACAGGGTGCACTGGCACGAAGAGCGGGAGAGTGAGATCATGGAGAGGTGGAGGGAGACCGAAAATAACGTGGTTGGAAGGAGTTAGGAAGGATATGAAGCATATATATTTGCATGAGAATGAGGTTTTTTTATCGTAAAGGATGGAGGATAAAGATTTGTGTGGATTAACACACAAAATAATCACTTTTGGTTCATGTAGCCTACCCCACTTATGGGATTAAGTCTTTGATTGATTGATTGCAATTCAAATTACATGTCAAGCTTTCTATTTAACATATTTTTTGTTTGATTTCAATTTTTTTTCTTTTAATATTTTTTATATATGACCTTAGTGATGATAAATATTAATGCCTCTAGTAAGTTAGAGTCTTAATAGACATGACATATATAACCTGAGCTAAATAGACATTACATCTTGGCTTCTAGCCTCAATTTTGACAAATGTTATAAGCTTCACTAAGTAAAAATTTGAAAATTATCATTCTGGATCAATTGCAATATATGAAGTGCAGAAAAGTGACAACGATTGTGTTAAGAATCAAACTAATTATGAGTTAACTTCACTCTCACTGAATATAGAGAATTTACAGTCTTACACTCACTGAATTTAGAAAAATGATTAAGAAGAATTTTAGGCAGAGAAGAGCATTCAAATAAGATATTACTGAATTGATGAAATCAAAGCATATAATCACCAATTACAACCTAACCAACATTCCAGAGGTCGGCAATCACTTTGAAGTGATTGTTGATCAACTCCCTGATGAAGTTTTCTAGCACTAGATAATCTCTAAATGGATCTGCATAATTTCCCTCATCCTTGAAGTTTTCTAGCTAATCCATTAATTTCTTTCTAGAATGTAATAATAAAATCAATGAAGTAATCAGTGGCGGATCCAGGAATCCTAACTAGGGGTAGCACTGGACAATTAAATTAACAATATAATGGCGTTGTAACGTAATATAATCAGCCAACAAAGTACGTTAAATTTTGAATATAATGCGTTGTGTAGTCATACAATAATTAACAATTAAATTCAAACATTTATATTGACAAGGTTATTATTTATTTTAAAGCATGTTATTTTTTTTTTTACAAATAATTTATATTCTAGATATCAATTATACTATGACAAATTTTCCACCTATTTATTTTTTTTATTTTTTAAGTCAAAGTTGCTTATGAATTTATATGAAAAACTTTGGCATAAATTTTTCCTATGCACGTATGCTAATGTAAAATTTTGACTGAAAATATTTTTAAAAATAAAATTATAACAATTGAATATTAATAAATTTTTCGTTGAGACAATACTAACAAGTACTCACGTTCTATATTTATTCTGATGTATAAATCACAAACGTTAGTCAACGTGAATTAGATTACTTGTGTAAAAAGTCAAAACATTTCATTTACTTAAACACAGATGGAGACATCATAGAGTATGATTTTTTTATATTCATTTTAGTGTAAATTTTCATACTAATATACAAACAAGATATAATAGTGGCCAAATAATTGCAATAAATATCATGTAATGAAAATAAGAAGAATGTCATTGAATATAACGGAGAGAGTATTTCATATTATTATGAGGATTGTTTATAAAAGGTGTGAAAATGGAAAAAGAAATTTATCTTGGAAAGATAGTAATAGGTAATAGCTTATCATTGTGTTGACGGAAGTAGAAATTCATTTGGGTTTTTTTTAAAAAAAAAAAAAAAAAAAAAAAAAAAAAAACAACTACTAAGGGGGTCTCGAACCCATGACCTTGAGGAGAACAAACACATTTCACCATTCTTCTTCCTCACCACTGAACCAATGCTGAAGTTAGTTAATATATATACGGATTATAATCTTTATATAAATATCAAGGTAGCTTTTTTCAGAAAAAAAAACAGTTTTTTTTTTTTTTTTTGTAGGGGTAGCACGTGCCCCCCAGGCGTCAACGTGGATCCGCCTCTGGAAGTAATCACTTCTCTAATGGTCAAGAATCAGGATACAACCCAGTAGAGGGATTATAATCCTGCACAAGAGGCAGTCTTTTCCAAAATCCATAAAGTCTTGGCCTTCAACATATATTTTCCAAGGTAGAACCTCAAGAGCAGTCCCCAAGCAAAACCGCAACCCTCAAAGGCCAAGAATGTGGCTCGTTACAGATTCTTAACAAACAAGCATAATAGTTAATTGCACTTGACTCTAGAATAAAAATGATGACCAATAGCAAACCCAGTTTCAGTGATTCTGTTTTCCTTGATTTTTTGCAACATAATAAAAGGCAATGCTTACAATCTCACCTGTTCGAAGTTGTTGACTGTAGCTGCGCAAAGGTAGCCAGCACTTCTAGCGGCATCAAACTCATCTTTGAATTGTTCTACCTGTACCAGAGAAAGCAAGTTAGCTAATCCAACAAGGTTTGGAGGGAGAAGGAGGGGTCATTTGTTGTGGAGAGAATAGCCAAAACCCAAATCTTAGAAAAAGAAAAAAATCAGCAACTATGCAAGTTTGAAATGCTTGTACCTCTTCAATCTGTGTGGGATCCGAATTTACTCCTAAAACTGGAATGCTGTCATCCATAAAGTGACTAGCTTGCAAAAGAGTGCCATCACCTCCAATAGTTAAAACCAAATCCACATCTTGGATCGGGCGAGTTACATCATTGTGAAATAGAGTTTCCCACTCAATCGACTTTCGCTGCAGAATTTCCTGACATAAGCTTATAGCATCCTTGTGAACCTGAATTCTATTGCTTAAATGGCAAAGTATCTGCAATTTTGTACAGAATATAGGACTCAGGTGACTAATACAACAGCATTTGCAGGAAACTGTAGCCAACAAAAGGTCATAAAACTGCATCTGCTACAACCTTTATGGATTCAGACAGCAGATCAGTCTAATGCAAAAGATTCACATACAAGGCAGAAAATTCACAAGCGCATATCCTCAACCATGCAATGGCAAATAACAATTTAACAAAACTCTCGATTGACAATTTGAAGATTTTGAACTCACATCTACTACAAACAAAAAAGTAAAGATAGTCAAAATAAACAATTGATTAGTCCATAACTACCCAAAATTATATTATTCCTTTCTATCTTAATAAGCTTCCTTGAAGTAGGACAAATGTGCCCCAATGGGTGATGTAGCACCAAAAACATTTTGAAAATTGGAGTTCACACTCAGTCTTCATAGCTTATCAAGTGTCCTCAACTCAAACCGTTAAACTCCCGAATTGAAAGTTTTTGTGCATTGACAAGATTAGATGGCCTAGCACACTACATTACCAATTGATTTTTACAAGAGTTCCCCCTTTTTCCTAATACTTGTTCAATTAATCCCGACTATTATAAAGGTTCTTAAGTGTCTTGGGAATTCATAACCCGCGTACATACATTAACGCGATGTTATCAATTAGAGAAATCAATCCTATATTCCTATACCAATAAACCAAAACAAAATCAACAATACCCGATTCAATACCGGCAACCTTTAAAAATCTCTCACTCACTTATCCTAAAGAATAACAATTTAGATATCTACATAATTCCTACCCAATAACCCTTAACGTTATATATGTAAATGAACAAACAAAAGCCATAAAATTTAGACAAACATACCAAAACCGCATAAATTCATCATGTTCAATTGATGGGCATATGTAATAAAATCTAATAACTTCATGGAAATACAAGAAAAGATGTGGGTGTCAAATATTTACATTGAAAAATGCATGAATTTATGATAGATACCAAAAAAATTAAGCTGAAAAAACAAAAAAGAATGAAAAAAAAATAGAAACCTTAGAATTGGAAATTCCAGAAAGAGAATCAGAATGGCGAAGAGGGTGAACATCGAAGGGTTTCAAGAGCAACAAGAGCTTTCTCCTGGCCATAGTTGTTTCTCCATGAAAAAGCATTCGACTGAGGAGGTTACGACTGAGGAGGTTACGAGGCTGAAATGATGTTGCCCAACTCAATGCTGAGGCTATTAATGCGACACGCATCACACTGCCGCATCACTGGCCGCTACTTCTCCCCCTAAACTCACCGCCGGTGCTCTAACAAAGACAACAAGGTGATGGTTGTATTAGATTTTTGTTTTTTTGTTTTTTTTTTTTTGGGAAGCAATTTAATTGGAATTTGATTTCATTTACTATTGGAAATTTTGCATAAAACTACCTTTTAAATCTCGATTTTTGCAATTAACCACCTTATAAAAAAAATGTTGCAAAAGACCACCTTTTTTTAAAATTATGTTGCAATTTAACACCTATTGCCGGAAAGTGACTATATGACCAACTACTCCGGCGTTGACCCATTACTCCGATGTTGACTTGGTCATGTGACCTTAATCACCCTCCATTTTTCTCTCTTCTCCCACAAGTACAACTACTCACTACAGGCAATAATTGGTAGCACCACCGGCTACCCACAGTCATGCTGCCTCGCCCTTATCACCACCTTCTCCAACAACAAAAACGATTACAAATGTTCTGGTTCTACAACCAATGCCAAATAATCGAAACTACCAACATTTCGAAGAACCATTCACTCGCATTATCCCGCATTAAGAAAATCATGAAGGCCAACAAAGACAACTGAATACCTATCCTCTTCGCCATTACAACCCATGAGATGAGTAAAGTAAATTGGGGAAGAAGAAGAATAAGAGGTAATGCTAGAACAATGATCTTTATGAGAGTGAGAAATGGTGGCCTTTAAATTTGGGATCCATGTATCTATCGAAAATTGCAATTCTGTTAGCATTTTGATTTGCATCTTCTTCTTTGATTAATTCACTTACTGGGTATTTGATTTTGTGAATGGAATGAAAAAAAAAAAATTGAAATTTTGAAGCTATGATGAAACCCTAGAAATGGCAGAAATTGGGGGAAAGAGAGGAGAGAAAGAAATAATCTAAGCTTGCTTTAGAAAGATAACAGATGAGTGATGGCGGTGGTGGGTAGCCATTGGTTGAAGACTTGACGCTGGTGGTGGACTGGTGGTTGTGACGGCAGTGATTATTGTTGGGTTGCCCTCCATTTAATCACGTGAGGATAGTTATGACTTATGAGGGGAGAGAGAAAAAAAAAGGGTCATTTAGGGTCACGTGTTTAGCACGTGATCAAGGTCAACGCCGGAGTAATGGGTCAACTCTTTGTTTCCGGCACTAGGTGGTAACTTGCAACATTTTTTTGTAATTAGGTGGTCTTTTGCAACATTTTTTTTATAAGGTGGTTTTTTGCAAAAAATAAGATTTAAAAGGTGGTTTTATGCAAAATTTCCTTTACTATTTCTGAATGATTTTTTTTTATAATAGGAAAAAGATATATGCAGCTCTGGCTGCATATGGGAAATAATTGACATAAATAAACATTTACTACACTGATTTACTTGTTAATTAATGATAAACTTTCAGGGAGCTGGTAGGGTACAAAAGGTGTACAAAAAGAATCTATATACTCTTATCCCATTGGCTAAAAAGGCATCTATTTTAAAGTGTGGTCCTTAAAAATTTCATCCAAAATTTGAATCTAATTTTTGAAATTTTAAGATTTGAAATTCAAATACAAATTTTAACCTTCAACTACCTAATTAATGCCTTTTCAATTTTCCAAATTGAATACTTAACTTAATATTCTTTTAACCAGGTCATTTTTATTTTTTTTGCTGGAGGACACGGGAACAATGGTTGGCCGTTTTGTGAGTCTCCGACAACGATGATTCAGCGATTTGTGAGTCCGGCAATGATGGTACTTCCAAAAAGCGATTTGTAAAACCTGACTCCATGTACAAATTGCAGTTGATGCTGGCATAAAATTTCAATTAAACATTATAGGAGTAACAAACTGTATAACTATAAACTTGAGAACAATCCGTATTACAAAAAAAAATACTCTTGCAAGAATTGTTGTGCTGGTACCCCCAAATTAAATGGATAGTAATGTGGTTATTTTGTTCATGTGTCCCGGGTTCGAATCCTGATAATGGACAACTTTATATTAAATACGTCCCAAATATTTTCAAGTCCTATTGTAATCTGTTTAGAAGATTAATAGCTGAGAACTGTAGCGCAATGGTTTATGTTCTTGTTGAACAATTGTCTAGGATCGAATCCTACTAGAGAAAACTTTAATTATTCTTTCTTAGTTGTTGGCCAATAGTTTATGCTTTTTTTTTGGGGGGTTGTAATTCTTCTTAGTTGTTGGCCAATTGTCATCCGGTCAATTTTTTTTTGCAAATAATATCAATTTTTTTTGTTTGGGGTTAAATGTAAATAATCGGACTACTTTTTCTATTTGACATATTAGTATTCATAACCTTCGTCAATTGAAAAACTGTTGTGTAAATGGCTGCTTTGGGGACATCAGTTTTTACAGGATTTTTTGTAAAAAACTACCTTTTATAATCCATTTTTTGCGAGAAACTACCTTGAAAACGAAATATTGTAATTAACTACCTTATAAAATACAAAATGTTGTAATATACTACCTCCCACCGGAAAGTCAAGTTTGACTTTATTTTCCCGGCGTTGACCTGGTCACATGACCTTCACGTGACCCTTAATGACATATATTTCCCCCTTTTTCCCCAAATTCTGGGTTTAATAATGACATATATCACCCTTAACTACCTTATAAAACCCAAAATGTTATGAGGTAGTCAATCACAACATTTTGGGTTTTATAAGGTAGTTAATTACAACATTTCGTTTTCAAGGTAGTTTCTCGCAAAAAATGGATTATAAAAGGTAGTTTTTTTACAAAAAATCCGTTTTTACAATCTGGCATTGTAGCAAGCTTCTACAGTATCCCAAATTGCATTACAAAAATGGATATTCAAGTAATTTTAATTTTGATGCCCAAAAAATTTCTCAAGAGAAATTGAACGGCATAATTAATGATATGGTGTATGAAAATTATTCTCTTAGATATGTGCCCTCGATGGATTCTCCCCACAGTGAATTGGTTGATCTAGTTGTTGTAGATGATTTCAACAATCTAAAAGGGGCGGCAAACGCTTATGGAGTTGTTAACATTATCGTTGTCCACAATGAGCCACTGAAGGGGGAGGTTCGAAAACAGCAAAAGCATACGGCCATCCGTGTTCGTCATCAACCACCAACAGATGAAATTATGAAGAAGGTAACTTGATTGTCAATTAAATTTTATAGTCTGTTACTTTGTAATTGATCATAATTATGGTAATATGTAAATGATTTAAGTGTTAAATTTTTTGGTTTTTGTTATAGTAATATTAATTTGAATTTCCATTAATGAAATATGTTTCTGCCTCCATTAAAAAGATATTTTATTCTAGTTATTATTATTTGATGCTGTTAATTATAATAACATTGCATTATGGTTCTGCCATCACTTTTATGTACAGGTAACCTGTGTGACAAACAGTCTTAGTCGGTTTGTTGAACTCGTGGGAAAATTGAATCAGACTCAAAAAATGTGGGTTGTGGAAATGGGATTTGGCAATTTGCTTTATTTATCCATTACGAGGATTGATCCGACCTTTATAAGTTGGATCACTGCAAGGTATGACCCTTTATTTTGTTGTCTAAAAATAAGGGAAAACTTGTCAGTGGTTGTGGACAGTGAAATAGTGGGATGGGTTTTAGGTGTTCTGGGTGGTGACTATTTGTTTCAACCGCAAAAAACTAACATTGAAGACTTTAAAGAGTTGAAGTTGGAGTACAAGAATTCCTCACTTCACGGTGCCATTAAAGAGGGTAGAGTTTTTGGAAAAATATGTGATGAGAAACGCAACAAGGCCATGTTCAAGAGACATTTTCTACTATATACATTAGGAGCGTTGCTTTGTCCAACTTTGAAAAATAGTTGAATTAGTTCTGCCCATGTATATGTATTGCGTTATGCAAACAAGGCATACGAGTATAATTGGGGCAAGTACATGATTGACTGACTTATCAAGTATGGTGACAATTGGAGGGGCAAGGTTGCGCAATACTACTATTAGTGGTATGTTTCCTTATCCTCATTTAGCATATCAATATTGTATTTCTATTAAAGTAATTTTGACCTATGTTTTTTTGCAGCTTATATACTTGGACTGAATAATTAGGCATGCAAGTGAGGTAGAATGGAATATAGAAAGGTGCAGGATCTGTAACTGGAAACAGGATAGTCTAGATTTGGCAATCAAATCCGACCAAGACTACAACGGTCAGTATGGGAAAGCCAAGGTTGTCGAAGGTGTTGTGTATGGAACACCATACCTAAAAGAGCCTTTATGCGAAACAAAACTACATAATTTGTCACGTCATAGTTAGGAGTTGTAAAAGGATTTTAATTAATATTTTAGTGTGATCATATTATATAATAATATAATTATAACACTAAAAAAGCTGTCATTTAAGTTTTAATTTTAAATTTTAATTTTTTTTTTTTTTTGAAAAAATCGTGTCAATACCAATTCAATTTATCAAAAAATGATCCAAAAACCGTATTATAAATGATTCTGTAAATAAAAATTTGATGCACTTTGAAAGTTTGTGGCAATTATTCAACGGTAACCTCATTTATGGTAACTAAATCAAATACCAACGGTCTATTTTTTGTTTTTATTTTGAGAATTTGTAACTATAAATTAACAAACCAACGACAAACTTTCTTTCATCTATAAATAGGCTAATGAAGGTCATATTTCATGGCAATTCACCATGACTTTGGTTGATGATAAATATGCGTCGCCTGAATCTTGTTCTTCCTCTAGCTACCATATTAATGCTGATCTTCAAGGTTTTGTTTCATGCAAACACAAAGAACCAGCCAAACTTCAAGTGTCAAAAAAACTTCAAATGTCGAACGCAAGTTTTACTCTTGCTCATCTTGGAAGGTAACATATCTGGAATAAAGTTATATAAAATTGATCCATTTGTTCACTTTCTAATGCTAATATATAAATGTTTATTTTAATTAAAAGTGAGATTTTGTTCGTGTACTCGTTTCAATTGGTGACTCATTATTTCAGGCTGATGATTGTGGATTCTTTACTGGGAAGATGAAGTGGGTCAACTAGAATCTTATAACTTAAGGGGGATCACTACAAGAAAACAACTTAATTACGACGGAAAAATTCCGTCGGAAACACCTTGTTTTCCTTCGGAAATGGTGTTTCCGTCGGAACGTGTCGTCGTAATAGTATTTGTCGGAAAATCGACCTTTTCCGACAGAATTTCCGTCGGAAACACTTTTCCGACGGATTTTAGCATCGGAAGAGGTTTTCAAGGTACGGAATTTCCGACGGAAATTCCGTCAGAAAATCCTTTTAAAAAAACAAAAAAAAAAGCCCGCACCACCCCCACCACCGTCAGCCACCACCGCTAAACCGCCACCTCCACCGCAACAAATTAAATACAAAAACTCCTAAAATATCCATCACAACCACCATCGGCCACCCTAAGAGAACCACCACCGACCACCTAAACCAAAACTAACCCAGATCCACCCACCAACACCTAAAACCAACCCTCACCCACCCACCTAAAACCGACCAGACACACCACACACCCAGCTACCACCCCCACCACCAGCCTAAACCACTAGCTACCACCCCCCACCACCAGCCCTAACCCGATCCACCACTCACACCCACAACCCACCCTAACCCGTTTCACCAGCCCCCCTAACCCGATCCACCCGCCACACCCACTAGAACCCTAACCCGATCCACCACCCACCAGAACCCCTACCCACCTAACCGACCCGCTAATCGAACCCACCCACCAACCTAACCCAACCCCCTAATCGAACCCACCCACCTAAAAACACCAGCCACCCGAAAATAATTTTTAAAAAAATGAAAAAAAAAAAAAAACCACCACGACACCAGTCACCCCCCACCATAGCGCCACCAACCGAAAAAAATTTGAAAAAAAACATAAAAACAATACAAAAAATGTCGAAAAACATACCTCAATAATAGAAATTGGCTTTGAATTGTTGAATTTGGTTTAAATAGGCCAAATTCGACCACAAAAAGCCTAGATCTAGTCTTTTTATGGTCGAATTTGACCAAAAAAACCATTAATTTCTGAAATATTTGAGAAGCACCACCGCGTTGCCGCCACACCACTCGCCACCACATCAATCGCCGAAAAAAACAGAGAAAGAGAAGATAATTGAGGAGATAGAAAGAGAAGGAGGAGACAGAAATGAGGAGAGGGTAAAACAAGTAGAGGAGATAACCAGAGAAGAAGATAGGAGAGGAGAGAGAAAGAGGCGCATAGAGGAGAGAGAACAGATGGAATAAAAGGGTAAGAGTGTCGATTAGGGTTTATAAAATAAAGGGCTTTAAAAAAAATTTGTCTTCCGACGGATTTAAATTCCGTCGGAAATTTTGAATTACGACGGAAAATTCCGTCGTTAAATACATATTTTCCGACGGATTTAAATTCCGTCGGAAATTTACGACAGATTACCGACGGATTATTTAAATCCGTCGTAAATTTCCGGCGGAAATTAATTCCGTCGGAAATTTCGAAATTTACGACGGAATTATACGTCTGTCGGAACGAATCCGTCGGAATTAGGCTGTTTTCTAGTAGTGGATAGCAGCACAACTTAAAGAGGAGTGTATTATGTTGAGTTGTGAGGCAGAAAAGTTAAGAGTTGAAAATAGGCATCTAAATGAAAAAATATATGACTTGAAGACAAATGCAGATATTCTTAACCAGATACTGTCAAAGGTTGAGAATGCTAACATGGATCTTAAGCTGAAGATTGCTAATCATGGAAGTGAAAAGTTGTTTAGATGTTTTTTGACAACATCTTGTATTATTTTGATTGTTGTCTTCCTACATATTCTATGTGTAACGCTTGTTCTTTCTAAAATATGAAATGAACTGTTTATTAGATGTAATAAAAGAGTTTAAATTATTAGATGCAATAAAAGAGTTTAAAGTGGTTGTTCCTTAAACAATAATCATAGTAGCATATATTTGAGTCATATCAAGAGCACTTTACACATAAAATATGTGTAGTTGCCAATTAAAATTATAACAGACCACATTATAATAATATTTGTCAAATAGTTGGCATGATAAGAATCGTTTAAAAACAAAAAACAAAATACTTAAGATTTCTCTTAAAACCATATAATATTGTTTCATTCCTTAGATTAACCAGCAAATGTTTCATTCTTCAGCTTATTCGAGAGAATGTATATCCTCTTGTTTTTCATTGCACAAACTGATTAAAGAAGCCCACATCATGTACTTCCTAAACAAATCATCATTCTTCCCATACAGCTGTGTCATGACAACATAAAGAAAAATCAAGTTAAATTTTGTTATTTACATTCAACAAAACTTTAGGAAGAAGTAGCAATTGTTAAGACAATCTAACCTCTAGCCAAGATGATGTCTCGTGGTTCAGACTGTATAGGAACAACATGCAAAGCATTCCTGTGTCTGCAGATTTTGCTTTTGGTAAAGCCATAGCCTGTACTATTGTATAGTTCTCTAGTTTTGGAATTTCCAAAAACGCATCTAATGTCTGCCAAGTATACGCATAGTGTATGTGGTCTGTATGTTATGAGCATATAAAGTAACTACTAATATCAATTACCTATTTACTATTGGCATAAAACTAATATGGTAATTTGTACATAAAAGAACGTACTAATATTTCTATTCTATCTGAGTGTATGTCGTCTTCCTACACTTCATCTTCTTCAGGCATATCCTCAAAATCCAGAATGAAGACTTTCTCGCGTGCTATATTAACAACGTACACATACCAGGTCCCCTCATTGAACACGGGGAAAGCAAGCTTTGTACCCATCCATAACACAAAATTGGTTATTTTTTTATTATGTTATGTATATTATGTGAAGTCTAAAATTTTTTAAAAAAGTATAAATTATGAATAAGCAAAATAAACCTTTCTCTTGTTACATAATTTGTTTGGCTCACTGAAGAAAAAGTTGTCAATTACATAGACTTCCTCTTTTATCAACTCTTCAACAGACTCACCTCTTGCGGTTGTCTCCAAAAGCATATACTGTAAAAATTGATCGCTCAATAAGATATTTGAAAACCTTCACAGTTTATATATTCAAGTTTTATTCCATTTGCATAATAACCAAAAATACTTACGACAAATGACAGTCGAAATACGTACACACCACCTAAGTCAGATGAACCAGAACTTTCATAGTTGGTCAGGGTTGCTGCAACCTCTATTATCTGGTTCCAACGTTGACAACCAATTATGAACACAATATATGAATATTACAAAATCTTTCCACAATGAGTAAGAGTAGTTAATACCGATATTGGTGTTTTCCTTCCTCTTAAAAGCCTTGTGGAACGTTTGACAATCCACGGTGAAATCTCCTGACTTGAATAAAACCTGATCCTTAAACCTGCAAAGGGAGTACAAAATTTTACATCAATTTAATTTAATCTTCAACACAAAGTATTACGCAATTGGCAAAAGTTTCACATTAACCTATTGTTCTTAGACTTATGGTGTAGAATTGAAGATATGATCTTCTCTTGAAATGCTTCAATCTTTGGTTAGGGGGGGGGGAATCATCTTCACAATCAGTGAGGACATATTCGTCCTTGTACACATAGTTACCACCACCTTCATTGTGACCATCCTCATTCTGGGAACCTTTCTCCTCCATCTCTATATCATTACCAATTTTTTTACACCTTGGTCTTCATTGTGTCCCCCATCTTCCTTGTCTGTGTTTTTATCCTTAGTCTCTTCCATGTCATTGACTTCTTTGTCATCTTCTTCCCCCCTGTCATCATCATCCTGGTCATCATTTTCTTGGCCATCATCTTCCTGGTCATCCTCACAATCATCTTCCTCGGTATCTTCTTCAACAATAATTTTGTGAATAGTCTTTCTTGGGGTTTTTCTTTTCTGTTTTGACAAGATGGAATAGATGCTAAATAGATGCTGTAAAATATTTAATGATGTTAAAATATTACATACACGATACTGTAAAATAAATTTTTAATTTGTATTTAAATTTTTAATGGAAATCATCTTACTCACCCTAAATGATGCTGTTAAATTTATAGAAGTTAACCCAATAGTATCCAAATTGAAATGTGGTTCAAGAAAAAAATTAACTTTTATAGCCACTACACCAAGGTCTTTAGTCATCAAACCAACACCAATAAATTTGGACATAGATCTTGTAACCCTTGTTGTTGCTGGCAGAATTGTAGGGCTCACTTGCTAAAAATAGGCATTGATGATATGGGGGGGGAGGTTAGTCAAAAAAAAAATTTGTGGGATAAAGATCATGTAAGTATGTTGTTGTAGACACCTAAAAATGTCTCCCCAAAACTAAACTCGATGATGAACAACCTTTCACCGCCATTATTGGTCGGGTTTAGTATTTAATCATGGAGTGCTTAAATCCATATTTTCATTTCATAAAACAACCCAATTCCTAGCCCATTTCCCCAAAATATAACTTATTTTCCTCTTTTCGTGCCTTTAAACCCAAAATAATTCATTTCGTGTCCTTTAAAATCATTCATTTCGTGTCCTTTTTATAAAAACGTTTGATCCAGTTTATTTTGGTCCATAATCTTGGTCCAATGATTGAATAGTTGGATGGGGTTTGAAAAGAGCTTTCCAACAATATATTATAAGCCCAAATCCGAGTTATAGCGAATAAGTTATGGTCAAAATATTAAACTGAGCCCAAAACGAACCTAAGCCCACCTTACCTACGACCCAATGATCATGTGGAGGGTCCAAATTATTTAATCCCATTCCTAAACCAATTAGGATTAATTGGAAGCTTCTATAAGTTTCTAAAAGATCTTAAATATCCTTTTTGAAAAGATAAGATTAAATAGTTTGAAATTGAATAAAACTCCTTTTTTTGAAAATCCTATTTATATCCGAATTGAAAGACGTTCAAAGATAGACAGATATTATTTTCGTGCATCATAGTTTTTATCTAAATTTTATATGGTTGGATAGCCCTTGAAATTATCTTTCCAATGATATATTATAATATCAATTCCGAGCTATAACGGAAAAGATATGAATAAAATGTCAAACTCAATCCAAAACTGACACCGTCTCACTATTTCGGCTATATCTTTTGTTATACAAAATGTTTTAATCTTATTCTAATTGGGTTAGAAAGTAAACTTCAAGATATTTCCAACGATATCTTATTTATATTATTCTGATTTATGGATCAAAAGATATGATAAAAACAATAACCGTAAAAACTGCTGTCTATCGCAAGGATTTTATCCAATTCGAATTCTTATCTTTTCTTGATTCGACCCCTCTTTTTTCCCTATAAATAGAGGTCATATCTCCCCTTTTCAATCATCAACAAGCTTGATCATCATATAATTCTCTTCTCCCTATTTAGCCTAAACACTAGCCTCCCTATTCTTCCATAATACTTCCCCTAAGCACTCCAAGGAGTCCATACTTTACCCAAAGTTCTATACTTAAACCAAAGCGTGAAAGGTAGAATTAACCGAGGGTTTGGACCAAATCAAATCTATATTTATTTAATTTAATTTCCATTTGATTTATATTTTTATTGAAGTTACTAACAGTTTATTCATGATGTAGCAATTTAAAGGAACGCGCAGAATGTGAGTAATTAATTAAATTAATTACTCTTATTTTATTTTAATATTGCTAGTATCATGATTAGGTTATTTTATATTTAATTTGACTAACATTATTACTGTTGAATTGCTTCCAATATTAATGTTTATTCTATTATTATTTATGATCACCACATTGCATGTTTAAAGGGAATATGTAATTCGAAATCACGCCTAATAAGATAATTTGGACAACCGGTTTAGGTTCCTTTTTAATCTTGTTGTTAATTCAAGTGATTACAATATTTTAGAATTATGTGTTGCATTAATATTAAACCAATTTAGCTTAATGATAGTTTGGAGCGAATTGAATATTTTGTTTGTATGCCTTTGAGATCGCAGGAATCATTTTTAACTATAAGAATCGAGTAGAGGCCAATACGGGTGAATGTGACTCCATGACTCACTTCGTACCATCATCCCCGATCCTCCTTTCGTGGTTCCGAACCATATGGAGTTAGTAATCTCATGGATTATGAATGGGGTGTAACCTTCACGGGTCAATCGTTGTTGCCTATCGTTGTCCCTTTATCGTGGTTGCCTTTTATGATCCGTGAACGGTTTACAAGTTCCTTAAAAACTTGTTGGCGGCTCCCTACTTTCCTTGTCCCTAATTGTATACGTCAATTCCCACTTCCTAAGAGTGTCAAGCATATTCACATATTCACTGTGTACCTGCTGAATGCCTTCACCTTCACTGTTGATTAAGATAACATCTTCCTTTTCCTTAGCTTCGCCCCTTTTTGTAAGGCTCCGGCTTCCTTTTCCAGTTTTGTTATTCTTTTCCTTCTAATATAAAACCAATGTAGAGCCAGAGGTTATAGTTTGGAGTGTTAAAACATTTTAATTTGACAAAACTAAACCTCTTTCAATGTACAAATACCTTCTCCTGAAGAACTAAGGTGATGAATGTCTTTGTAACCTTTTAAATCCCTCACCTTCGGCTTGCATTTTTACCTTTGATGTTTCCTTTTCAAAGTAGTTTTCCCTTCGGCCTGATCAGCATCCCCAACATCCTCGGTTGGTGGTGGTGGAGGTAATGGAAATCGCAACCACGTTGGACTTTCTTCTCGACTACCAATTGGGTACTCTTGACCATACACCATATCCCTAACGACCCACACCAATTTCAACTATAATTATATAACCATAATTATATAACCATGCATTACGATTAGAGTATTAGTGAATAAAAATAAGCCTCATTACCTCTGCCACTCCATATGTTCCATCTTCTGCAGTGTCTACAGCAATGGCCTTTTCAATTTCATGTTGCTGCCACATCCCTAGCCTTGGGTAGTTTAGATCCCACCTATGGCCCTGACCATTTATGTTCAACCTGTCGAGGTATGCAATCTGTGTACAGAAAATAGTTAAGCTTGTTAATGTAAAATGTGAAAAACAAAAACACATATGACTATATTATATGACTATATTGTATGTAATTTTATTTCCTATTGCACGAACCATGAGTACAAGCGCGGATCCCTTAACACCGCCTTTTTCTTCTTCTGCTTCTCCATGTATGTTGATCATCCAATCTAAGACAAAATGTACAAAGTTCCACTTCCTTGCTTATTTGAGATATCGTGCTTTCAACTGCCAGCACAGTGATGGACTAATCCAATTGTTTAGCGTCGTGCAAAATAAATTTCCAAAAGCATAAAGAATAAAGGATTTTAAGAACCTATCCCTGTCATTCATATGTTCTTGTATATCGATCTCCACAACACCGTAGCCTATCCCACCTCGGTTATTATACGATGTCTTTAACTTCTTAAACTCCTTGTCTCGAGCATTGGGCTCATCAATAGTAAAGCACATACTACCAAATGGTAACCCGTACACCCACCCAACCACTTCATCTGTTATCTTGATCTCATAGTCATCTCTAACGCGTAGAATTTGGGTCTTTGGATCCCACCTACCCATTAACCATGACATGAAATACCTGTCAACTTGGGTGAACTTTATATCAAGTAGTGATTGAAATCCTGCTTGTGCTATCCAACCTTTTTGTGATTCACCTGTTTCTTCTACTATATCCACAATTCTGTCGGGATAAATCCTCATAGACGGGTACTGCATGATGGGTTTTTAAAAATTTGTTAATTTCACATACGTAGTTAACAAGTTGAACAATGCATTTAGTTAAACATTAAACTTGAATTACAGCCAACTGACTCAATGGATGTAGACTCACATATTTTTCCTTTTACCACCGTGGCAGTTCTGGCCTTCCAAGCTTAACACCTGGTCTTACTACTCTCTTCCTTTTTCCTTTCCTACTCTCTTCATTTTCATAGGTTACTTCTGGAGAACACGATAGTCCTTCAGCGGGTATTGACACATCTTCATGACGAGCACTTTGACTAAGAGGCTGCAATGATTATAAACATTGTTTAGATATGGAAAGAAAACATGGTAAACAAGTACTTATATATTCCCAAGACATTAATGAATTATGTTCATTTTATTCATATATACCTCTTCACTAACTAAACCTGTACCACTCGCCTCTGTTTCTTTAGGCCCTGTTACCATCTCACTTCTTTCCTTTTCAGAAGGTATTGAAGTTGCTGCATCTGCTTGTACTTGAGCCAACCCTAAATCAGTCCCAATACCCTCAGGTCCATCTAACGTCTTACTACTTTGCAAGTCCGTAGTTGAGGGTTGTATTTCAATGGCAATTGAAGCTGGTTCCTCTAAATTCATAGTTTCTTCTTATGTGCTATGTTTTGTTAGGGTTGCAGAAAACTTATATCAGTACCAATGTCATTATACTTTAATAACAACTAGTAAAATGATGAATTCTTTTATGCAACCATTAATGATTGCATGGTACTACTAACCTCAATCTCCTCAATGTCATTCCCATTAAGATGTTCATCTCTTTGCATATTGTGGATGTCATCAAACTCCTCAACAATGTCATTCCCACTGGTTCTGGTGAAGATTCATAAGGCTGTATGGTAGTATAATTGAGATATTACATATTTTGTACATCAGATTTCAGGATCCATATTCGAGTTTAGTACACTTAAATATTTGTTTTATTTAGTAACCATACATTATAACTAGCTTTTAATAAATTGCTTACCACCAGTAATGCTTGTGCAGCCCCTGTTTGCTTGTCATCTAATTCTTTTTGTGAGACAATCAATGTATCATAGCCTTTTCGAAGTTCCTCATTTGCACTTGACTTCACCTCTACCTGCTCCTCAAGTGCGACCCCTACTCCTTCATCCAAGGACGGGTAAGGCTAAAAATCGTACAGATAAGATTTACGCGATTTAGTGAGGGAAAATAAGTGGTCCACTAAAATTTGGAGGATAAATAAACTAAGGCAAACTAATTGAGTGACAATTGATTATCACAATCGAGTCAATCTATTTTAGTGACAAATTTGTAGGATTAAATAAACTACCTAAGGCAAACTATTTGAGTGACAAATCAACATCATAATCTTATTTTATTTTTAAAACTAATTTATTTCACGACACAAGTCAGATTAAGCAAACAATAAACAACTAATTGAGAGAGTAGTCAACGAAAGATAACAATAAACAATTGAGTGACATCTCAAATTATGTTAACATGTAAAATGAGGCAAATTAACTATTCCGGGGGTCAAACATTTCACATCCCCAAACTCAAATCAATTATGATAACAACAAATAAATTGAATTAAAATATAATACAGTGTTAAGAGCATTTCGCACATCCCTAAACTTAAATCAATTATCATACTTTACTCACCCCTTCTCCCTTAGAAGCTATGTACGATTCTCTTTGTTCTGCCATATCCGTGACTTGATGATCAGTGTTAAAAACCGGGTCTTTAACTGTTTGTCCTGCCAAGTTTTTTGCTTCACCAACATTACAAATCCCAGGGTCTTCTTCTGAATTTCTATTCAAACATTAACATTAACAAATATAGTCATATATTGGAATTTTTCCCATTCACATAACTGAAATAAAAGTAATTTTGGTTACTTAATCTGAATTTTCATCCCAAAAATTTATCTAACAACTAACCTATACTCGAATAATAGTAGAAAGTCCAAGTATAATTCGCGTCTACAACCAGTATTAGGGTAATAACATGATACTATAATTTAATTCATGTTCAACATTTAATTATACCCAAGTACATGTAAATATTCAATATTGCATAAACCAACTACTTGATGATTTCATAATTGATTTTGTTTAATGGAATTCATATCGGGGATTCAAATAAATCATTAAAAATTTGGGGAATTCATCAAATCAACTCAAAACTAGGGTTTTAACTTAAAGAATTGACGTTTGGTCCATGGAGGTTACATGAATGCGAAAATGCTTAATGCTTCCTCTTCCTCGTTTTTGGGCTGCTACATCAAAGAATTGTAGTGTATTATTGTGTGTTGTTAACAATGTCTTAAAGGAAAACCTTAAACAAAATTGGAATAATTTTCGATTTCTCACTCCTCTATGAGTTCTAGAAACGTAAAGACTTATTGCATTCTTCAAGAAATAAGTCGACTAAAACATAACTTTTTCAAAATTAAATCTTTTACGGAGTTTATGTCATATGGCGGGTTTTTAATTTTTAATAAGCTAAAATACGGTTTATCCGGTACTTTTCACAAAATAAAATTATATTTTTTTGGTCACATAATTTCTACATTTACTTTAAAATAAAAAAATAATTTTAATTACATATTTTTGAGTACTTATGTTTCAAAATTTTAATTTTATTTCCCCAAATTATTAATAAAAACTAAGATAAGTTAAGTACTAAAAGTTAAATGTTCTATATAAAAAATAAAAAAGGTATTTATTTGTTTTAATTTAGAACATTAAATTAAAAAAAATAATTTAATTAAAAGGCAAAAGCTAAAAATACTACTAACTAGGGGTGCTTATCAAACGATTCGATCACGAGCTGAGGGGTGCTCGACTCAACGCGATTTTTTTTACAAGTGGTCAACTCGTGCTCGTTAAAGTTTCGAGCAGATAAAACTTGCTCAACTCGTGCTCGTTTCATTATCACAGTCGAGTTGCTGGTTATAATTTTGTCCCTTCTATTATTATAAGCCCTTATTTATTTTTTTGTCAAATTTATATTGTTTTCCTTATTTGTTCAATTTATATCGTAGGGGTTTTGAGTTGCGCTTAATTGAGATTATTTTACGTGCTGATCAATTAAAAGTTCGACCGAGTGAATCTCTAACTCGTCAAGGTCAAACTACTTGTTGGTTGTCTCGTCTCATTTACATCCCAAAACCAACAGAGTTTAATGATTCATTTTATAGGAGCTAGGTTGATGGTAATTTAGTCAATCATATACACCGGCAATATACAAGTCCTTTTTTAAAATAAAATTTATGTTTATGATAAACCACAAATAACTAACCAATAACCTGTTCCCGATTATGCTATACTGCAAATAAATTGCCATTATGCAAAATATTTGGTAATTTTCACTAAATATACCAATCATACATTTGTCATGGTAGGAGGGTTTGGAGGGTTACGTAAAAGTCCTTAAGGGCTATGAAAAATTATAAAATGATGCTATTTAAAATACTATTAAAAACGGTTCACCAATTCAACTAAGTATTAATGTTGATTATAAATCCAATCTCATGACATTTCTTTAATTGTAATTCTTAAAGAATTAGTAGAAATTATTTCGTAACTTTATATGGTTGGACTAATAAAAAAAATTATAAGATCAAGTAAAGCTTTTTTTTTTTTTTATTTTTTTAATCCCATTAAGTTATAAGATCAATTTCCTTTACGGTTTTTTTCACCACATATCCCTGAGTTTTTTTATTTATTCACCATATACCTATGAAAATTGTCAAATTCACCATATACTCCTGAGTTGTTACAAAAATTCACCATATACCCCTGACAACAACAAAATGAGTGGAATTTGATTAATTATGCATCTACATCACCTTATATTTCTCCTTTCATTCCTGAAACCACTCCTCTCCTTTGTTCAATCCCTGAAACCACTCCGAATCTCAATAATCATATCCGTATAATCGATTTTGAGATAGAAGAAAAGAAATTTGGCGTGGTTTTGAAGGTGAGAAAAAGAAATGTGGGTGATTTCGGAGGTGGAGGAATGTATTAAGGGTAGTTTTGGGTCATAAGTAACCTTAATAATTGACAAATTTAACAATTATTAGTCATCAAGGGTATATGATGTATTTTTGTGAAAACCTGAGGGTATATGATGAATTTTATAAACTTCATGGGTATATGGTGAATAACCAAAAAACTCAGGGGTATATGGTGAAAAACCCGTTTCCTTTAAGTTTGATGTTTCGATTTTTCCTAGAGGTGATAAAAAATCGAGCCAGGCCGGGCCTTAATACAATTTCTCGTGCCCAAACTCGTAAAAAAGTTGCGGGCTTGTCGGGCCAAAACGGGATTTTTGGGTTTTTCTGGGCCAGGTTCTGCTGTTAAACTAAAAATGCATTTTTATTCTTGCTCATACCCGTCAGATTTTGGGCCGGATCGGGCCGGGCTATCGGGTCGGGCCAATGTTGATCACCTCTAGTTATAATGCTAAAGTTTGTTAGTTATGACAACTTTATCTTTTCATTAATACATGTCTATGTAGAATTTTAATGCAGTATTTTAATTTTTTTATTTAAATAAAAATGTATTAATGATTTAGTTGGGGAATGACTGAGTATTTAAATTTGTTCAATTTTAAATTAAAATATGAATGTCAATTAAAATTCTTTCAATAACTTAAATTTGTGTTAGCTTTATTTTAGATATTTTTCATCCTAGTCAAATCAAACAATTGAAACAAATTTGAAGGTTGCTAAACCTCCCACGCTGTAGAGAATTTTGGTGCTTGGGAGATATTATTTGAATAACATATTTTCCCATATATGTGTGTGATATTTCTGATTTGATTCGAATCCAAATGGTCAGCAAACAAATGTTAGTTAAGGCCGGTTTGAGGGTGAATGAAAATAAAGATGTGGACTGGAGTCAATTAGAAAAGATGTCTGTAAGTCTGATGAATCATGCCCCTTTGTTCATGTCAGAATTAAAGATGACTACGACCATTGTAAGTGGTTTGGGATATGGCGCAAAGCGATGTTTACCAAGGCTAAAGCATGCTACATTAACCACCACGGCGTTATGAATCGACACAGCGAGGAACAAGGGAGGCCATGGATGAAAGTACTGATTCGTCGAGACTTACCTAAGTAATCTACAATTTTTAAAAAAAATTAGTGTTTTTGAGCAACATAATTGTTGTTTAGAAGAGGATGTGTTAGGTGATGTCTAATGGTACACAAAAATATGTTGTGATTTAAGCTAATAAATTTTATTTTGTCTTTTGAATATTATTTAAGCTAATAAGTTCATACTTATTATTGTAAGGAAATTTTGTGTAGAACTACCCTAAAGATAGAGTCAATTGTGAACAACTACCCATTTTTTTTTTATTTGTTTAGAACTACCCACAAGTTTGAAAACATTTGTGTAGCACTAGCAATTAACATTTTCCGTCCAATTAAGACGTTATCGGAGCCCACTTTTTTCACTTTTTTCACCCAATTAACTCTCCCAGTTTGTACAAAGGTTTTACTTTACCTTAATTAACCTAATTAGGATTTTAATTAGAATTCATTTTAGGGTTCACGAGTTTAGTATTATTTGGGGATTTTGAATTCTAAGGTTTGGGGGTTTGATTGAATTGGGGTTTTTGCTTATTTTAGCATTAATTGGCTATTGTAATTGATAAAAGTGAAAAAATAGCCAAAATAACGTTTTAATTGGACGGAAAACGTTAGTGAGTAGTGCTACCCAAACATTTCCAAACTTGCAGGTAGTTATAAACAAATAAAAAAAAATTGGGTAGTTGTTCAATTACAATTTCCTTATTGTAATATATGTATGATATAAAAAATAAAAAAATAAAAAAATTAATTGAAACTACAGTACAGTAAACCTAAAAAATATTGGAAGGTCCTCCCTAAACTTTACTTGTCCATATTATGCACCGCATTAAATTTGCATTTCTAATTAGTAACGTTCCATATGTTGGTGATTAATATTAGTATGCCCCTATATATTCCCATATGATGCAACAAATATATCTAAATTACCCGAAACACTAATATCTCCCGCTAAAATACAAAATGTAACATCATATGATATGATATAGTGGCGGGAAAATCTACCATATATAAGAAAACGAACCCTTAACATATTTCCACAACTTTCTCCAAAATCGTCTGTTTCTAAAATAGTTTAAGTTGCAAAAATTAAAGCTCAAACAAACACACACACATGGCTAAACGCAAAAGAGGAAATGGTAATGAGTTAATTGTATAAGGCTGTTGTTTTGATTGTTCATTTTCAATTTAAGGTTTAAATTATTAGTCAAATGTTTTGTTTTTTTCTTCCCTAACAATTTATTTTGTTCTATACTTCTATGCACAGTTTCGTCAACACTAGAGGCGTATGAAATAAAACGTATGAAAGATATTCACTGCTTTCAACTATTCATGCGCAACGTCATGTACCACATTGGTCCCTTGGACACGGGGAAATTGGTTAGTGTTGTTGGCAATGCTCCTATCATAGAAGATATGTATCAGGAAGAGCGTTTTAACTACATGAAAACTAAAGTAAACCTCTCTAACATCCCCAAAAATGGAAAAGGAGAACGATTAATCACTCTGGCTGATGACCGGATTGTGAAGCTTGAACCAATCAATTTGGAATACGATGATACATGCTACAAGCGCATTAAAAAGATTGATTTTGTGGATCTTTCTGACGAGTAGAGGTCGCATCACACCTTGCATCTACTTAGTTGTTTACTAAAACTATTCACGTTTTTTTAGTGTCTCTTTTTTGTTTAATCCACTCTAGCCTATGTGGTGTGGTTAATATTGGAGCAAATAAGCTACTGCTGTATTAAGATCATTATCGTAATATCTATATGAATAAATATTTTGCTGTTAAATATAATTTTTCATGCCCAAAAACAATGTTGCGAAAAAGATAAAAGCACTAAGTTTACATACTAGGCAACATTGGAATAAATTAAAAAATTAATCCATGCTACAATTTTTTTTTTTTAAATAAAAAAAATAAAAACAAATACTAACAATAACTATAACCTGTGATACAACCGAACACACGATTAAACCATTGACAATATGTTCAAGCTATTGTTGAGTACACGAGAATCATTTTTTTTGCAAACCATTGTTTTGCTTCCCACGAATCATAAATCCTTGTCTTCCTCATGCCACCGTATGTTTGCATTAGGAATCTGACACCAGCATCGAGACAGTCGAACCTCCATGGAACAGTCCAATTACAATCGTCGCACTCTTGCATCACTAATAGGTTTTTATGGCTCCCGCAAGGATTGTTAAAAATATTCCTAAAACAATAAATCTCGAGTTGTGTCCAATCAATGTCTTCGTTAGCGTGTATCCTCTCTCCAACTCTGTCGTTCCTTTTTTAATTAAGTTGCAAAAGATTTAGAAGATGAAAAATCTCTGTGATCTTAGGAGATATTTCATCTTCGAAAATCCTTTCCCAACCACCGAACTTGTTATGATTTGGGTAAAAGGGTTTTTCTTAACCACTTGGATTCATGACTTATCAAAAATTATTTCTTTAGTTATTTGTTTTAAAGTAACCACAGAGATAGGGAAATTAATTAAATTTAAATTATTTAGTAGCATTTTTTTTTCTTTTTTTTTGGGTAAATTTGTAACGTATCTAATTCAATTAACCAGAGTCGTATAAAAATTCATGGTATTGGAATACGCACCGGTATAATTTTTTTTTAATTTTCTCTTGTCATAAGTGTCACATTCCACGAATACAGCTGTGGTTTATGATGAGGGGATTTTGCTCCTACCAATCGGAATGCGCCACGTGGGCCAATCAGGACCTGCCAAGTGTCCCCTAGTTGGAACTGTCAGGGCTGGCCACGTGGCACGCGCTTATTCGTCCACCTTGGACCTGTTATGTCACGACATGTGGCATACTCCATGCCTAATGGAGAAACCGGCCACCCAGGCCCAACTTCCGAGGGAAGCACAATCGGCCCTAGGTTTACCTAAACCTAGGATGGGCACGTTTCCCAAGGTTATAAATACCTCCCTTAATCCTCATTAAGGGGGGGGGGGACAAAAACAACACGCGAAAAACATTACGGAACACACTAATAACCGGCTGATCTCGCTAACAAAGCAGATTACCTACATTAAACACTCTCACCTAGAGAGACCTTATTACTTTAATTTCCGCATTAATTACTCCTTAATCAGGTACTAACTTGACCGTTGGAGGCGGAGCTCACAGGAGTCTCCGTTATTTTGCAGGTACAGGCGTCCGGTTCCAGTCTCGGAATTGTAACTCTCCCGCAGGACATCAGAAAACCCCGAAACATTTGGCGCCGTCTGTGGGGAGAGTACTTCAGAGATGGCATCCAAGTCTGTACCGACTCCTGAAGAGAGGCGTCCCGTAGACGACCCTCAAGTTCAGTCGGACCATGACACCGAAAGTGAATTTGAAGTTGAAACTCATACAGCTTCAGACGGGACCCTAAGGGCCCGACGTACCCGTCATACCGAAAGGAGGGAACGGGAGCATCTTCAAACAGGAAGCGAGCCAGCAGGCGCACCGCCTGTTCGGCAACAGCCGACTGATGGGTCTGCTCCCATCACAAGGAACGAACTCATGACCTTCATGAGGGACTTCAAGGGAGAGATTCAAGAGTTGATCAACAAAAAGCCGCCTGCTTCAGTCAAGGAGCAGTCGGCCAAGAAACCCCCCACTTCACTGAAGAGGAAGCCAGTTCAAGGGCGAGAGGCGACTCCTCATCCTAAATCTAGGAAGCGGGAGCCACCTGCCCTTGATTTCACAAAATTCCGTTATCCTACAGGAAATAGGAAACCGGTTCGTCATATTCAGGCGGACGGGTCAAAGCAAACATTCACAGATGCTCGGCTACTGTTAGAGCAGATTAAGAGTGACCGATTGTCAGAGTCGGCTTCTACTTCAAACTTTCAAGACAGTTTGCGAAATGCCTCGATGAGGCATACTCAGTCGTACCATGAGAGTCAGTCAGGCGGCACCTCCCGTCAGTCCGGCTTTCATAGTGCCCAGGCGGTACCAAACTTACCATTTATGCCGCAACAACAGTATTTTATGCAGCCACCTCCATTTGGTGGACCTACAGCAAAAAACGTCCAACCTATGGACTGGCAGCTACGGTTGCTTAGACTTGGTGAACAGTCGTCGGCCTTCTCCAAGGAAATTACTGAAGCCGCTCAGCCGGCCTAAGTGAAAAATGTACTAGTAGGCGCCTATGACGGCACTACTAACCCAGAAGACCATCTGATGGCATTCACCAACCTGATGTACCTTCAAGGGTTGGATGATCCCACTTGGTGCAAGTGTTTCCCAGCGACTCTCAAAGGAATCGCACAGCAATGGTTCGGCAACCTGCCGACTGGTTGTGTAAATAGCTTCAGGACGCTTGCTTACTTATTTGCCTCCAACTTCGCCATGAACATCCCATGCGAAGAAAACGACCCTTGATTTGGGAACAATTCAGCAAGGCGAGAAGGAGGGGCTTCGTTCTTACATCAGGCGGTTTAACCTGATGAGGATACAGATTCAAGGTTTACCGGATGAGGTAGCTTATACCGACTTTTTTAGAGGTCTCAAAGACGGGTCTACCTTCAAATTTGATTTGGTCCGAAAAAGGGTGGCGACTCTTCAAGAGGCCTTGATTGAAGCAGAAGCCTATATACAGGCGACTGATCTGTGTACGATAAAACAGTCGGACGGGAAAAGGTTCGACAAAAGAGAAGGACGACAGAATCAGTCGTCAAACAAAGATGAGAAAAGAAAAGAGGTCTGGGCGGCTGATTCCTCTAAACAGCCGGCCCAGAAAAAGAAAAAAGAATTCAAACCATACTCCCCAAAGTATGCGTTTAACAAGGATAACCAGTTTATCCTAAAAGAAATCAAGGGACGGATCTCAATTGAGAAGCCGGTCCCCATGAAGGGTTCTGCAAACAACCGGAACCAAGATAAAATTTGTGCTTATCATGATGACGTTGGTCATCACACCAATGACTGCATCAGTCTTATGCGGTACCTAGACCGCCTGGCTGAGCAAGGTGATCTTGACACTTATGTCAAGAAATCTACGGGGAACACTTCCTCAAAAAAGCTGTCGGCCAAAAAGAATCAACAGGCCGACAGCTCCGATACAGATGATGCAGTCGTCTACACCATTGCAGGCGGCTTCTCAGGAGGCGGCCCCACCATTAGGGGCAACAAAGATAATATAAGGCGGTTAGATGTAAATTCCGTTCACCAAGAACGGCCGTCCAAATATACATTTCCTGAGATTGTCATCACTGAAGAGGATCTAGGAGGGGTAAGGGGGCCGCATGACGACCCTCTCGTTATTGAATGAAAGTGGCCAACCAGAGGGTTGGCCGAATCCTCATAGATACCGGGAGCTCCTCAGATCTCATCAGCAGCAAATGTCTGTCGAAACTGAAATATCAGACTGACTGCATACATCCGGCCTCCCACCCTTTAATAGGGTTTGGAGGAGGAGTCGTCCACCCACTGGGACGAGTAGATTTACCCATTCGCCTGGGCGAAAAAGGGGAAGGACGACACATGGTAGTCCGGTTCCTAGTAGTAGAGGAACTCTCGGCCTACAACGTGATTCTGGGTCGACCAACCCTGAATAATTCCAAGGCTGTTATAATCCCGTCTCTTATGTTGCTCAAGTTTGAGAGGGATAATGGAACAGTCGGCTCCCTAAGGGGAGATCAGAGGATGGCCCGAGAGTGCTATCTCTTGGATGTCAAGCCCACTGTTATGGCCACTGGGTCAAGTGGTGAAAAAACAGACCTTGACAATGTCAAGGAGAGTGCGCCTGTTCAAGAAGCAGGCGGCAAAAAGAGAAAGGCGTCCCAGACAGAGTCCGCAAGAAAAGCAAGAAAATAGCAATCATTGGCAGAGGATCGGCCGGATGAGTTCCGCCCTCAGCCGGCTGGTGAGCATGCGGACCTGATCTTAGACGACTCACGTCCTGACGGAACAGTCAAAGTTGGGACGACTGCTCTGAGAAACCTTGGTGACGACTTTCACAACCTATTGAAAGAATACAAGGACATCTTTGCATTTGAAGTCCATGAAATGCCAGGCATTAGTCCTGATCTGGCGGTACATAAACTCGCCGTGGATCCGAAAAAGAAGCCGGTACGGCAAAAGAAGCGGAACCATGGCGAAGAAAGAAGTCAGGCGGCAGCCGCCGAAGTTAAAAAATTACTTGATGCAGGGTTCATTCGGCAATGTTACTTCCCAGACTGGGTTGCAAATGTGGTGCTTGTTAAAAAGCCGAATGGCACCTGGCGAATGTGTGTAGACTACACAGACTTAAACAAGGCGTGCCCCAAAGACAGTTATCCTCTGCCTAAAATTGATAACCTGGTCGACTCAACAGCCGGCCATGCCTTGATGAGTTTCATGGACGCCTATTCTGGTTTCCATCAAATTCCCTTATGGAAGAAAGATCAGGAGAAGACGGCCTTCGTCACTGATCAGGGGTTATATTGTTACACGGTCATGCCGTTTGGTCTTAAGAATGCCCCGGCTACCTTCCAACGAATGATAAACACTGTGTTCTTTGATCAGATTGGGAGAAACGTCGAGGCATATATTGATGATATGATTGTCAAGACTAAACTTCAGAAAGATCATCTGTCGGACCTCCGAGAAACTTTCGCCACACTCAGGCGGCACCATGTCATGCTCAATCCCAAGAAATGTGTATTTGGAGTTGAGTCTGGGAAATTTCTCGGATTCCTTATCAATCAGAGAGGAATAGAAGCGAACCCTGAGAAGGTGCAGGCGGTCATTGACATGCAGTCGCCTCGTACCATCCGAGAGGTTCAGAAGTTAACAGGTTGTTTGGCGGCCTTGGGAAGATTTCTAAGCCGATCAGGCGACAAATGCCTATACTTTTTCCAGGCAATTAAGAAAAAGGCAAGGTTTGAATGGGGGCCGGATGCTGAGGCCGCCTTCCAGAAATTAAAAGTTCACTTGCATTCCTTGCCGAGGCTGGTCAGCCCTTTGCCCAAAGAGGTTCTCTACATGTACCTGGCCGTCTCTGATCATGCGTTAAGCGCTGTTCTCCTTGCTGAAAGGGACGGCTGTCAGCTCCCGGTCTACTTTGTCAGTCACGTACTGAAAAATGCCGAGTTGAGGTATCCCCTAGTGGAGAAATTTGGTCTTGCACTCTTCATGGCTGTTAAAAAATTGAAGCCCTACTTTTTGGCACATACAGTCGTCGTGTATACAGACCAACCTATCAAGCGGCCGCTGACCATCATGGAGTCGTCAGGCCGAATGATCAAATGGGCCATAGAAATACAGAGCCTCGAAGTTACTTTCGAGCCTAGAAAAGCAGT